GTATTGAGTAGGAACACCTCGGTTGCCCAAGGCTGCACGGTTCGTCGCCGCAGCATATTCCCACTAGCGCACGATGGCATCCCCCATTTCCCCCATACCTCATAGTCCCCCTCCCACAAGAATAAATTTTACGTCTATTTTGGACGAGTTGCCCGGGGAAGATTAGACGTCTTTTAAGAGATCGAAGCGGTATCTCAGCAGGCCCCAACTCCACACAAACACTTTTCCGAGAATCCTACTAATACTGCTATTTTATTTTAAAGACAACGCTACAAACGTTATGCTACAAACGCACTAGGAATTGTATCCAAAGGTTCATAACATGCAAAAATAAAAAAAAACATGCACATCCACGTAATCAAAAGGGAGATCGTTACCCATGTAAAGAAAAATCAGTGCGCAGTGTTGTTAGAAGAACATACAATCAACGAATCACAAAAACTGAGTCTCTCATTAGTTTCAGTACTTGTAACAGTGATAAGGAGGATTAGAAATACTGCAAAGTGATACACTTATGGGAGGAGTTACTAAGGCTGCGAGCAAGAGAAAAACAAATGTACTCAATGAAAAGTGAAATAAAAATGACACATTAGAAATCAGCATCAAGCTGGAACTGCCTTTCTTTTTCAGAAGACATCACACCAGGACGTTGATATTCAGAAACCTGAAAAGTTTATTGGTCAGTTAGCAGTGTGAATTATGTAGGGAAGGGAAGGTGTGAGGCGTACCTTCTTCTCAAAAAAGTTGGTCTTTCCATCAATTGAGATGTTCTCCATGAAATCGAAAGGATTCTTCGACTTATAGATCTAAAAGAATGAACTTAGTCACCAAGGAACACAAGGGCCACTGGTAATCTTACCTTCTCACAACCTAGCTCAACAAGCAGGTGATCTGCTACGTACTCTATGTATTGACACATCAGGCGGCAGTTCATTCCAATCATATCTACTGGCAACGACTCAGACAGGAATTCCTGTAAGGATTCTCTTTAGAAACATGGTGTATAACTGACAGAAAAAAAAGCTCAGAAATGGGAAAAAGGCACTTAAACTCAGAAAAATGGCACCTAGGCAGCGCCCATACTTTGCCATGGTGGAGAAGCGACCGAGAAGATGGAAAAAAGGAGTATAGAACTTGATTCGGAAAAACCCACGATTCCGTCTCGATACACTGACTAGCACAAGCGCAAGATATGAGTGCGACCTAACGGACGAGGGATCCTATGACTAGTATTAGAAATATTTTAAAAACCTGTTCGATTGCAACAGCTTCTCTGATGATGAAGTAAATACGTTCACGTGGTAGCTTGTTCTTAATGTGTGAATACATCAGACATGCGAAGTCGCGGTGAAGACCTTCATCCCTGTAAGCATCGAATAAATAGGACTTAACGAAACAAAACGGTAGCAACAGCAGTGCACCAACTAGAATGGAAGAAACAACATGAATTAAAAAGTTGCCACAAATCAAATGGTTCGTTTCGTCCCTAAAAACCCACTAACGATCAAAAGCCTCGACTTGTAGCACTTTCAAAATATCTGTGTTGGGTTTGTAACAGTACTGGGTTTACTCCCGTTTAGTCCCATACCCTGACCATGGAACTCCGCCAACCTAGCATGGAACTTTGAATGGGTAAATTGGTAGCTGTAAGATTATTTACAAATATAGATAGCAAAACTGCAACCTGCATTTCACAAGCAACTTATGAGCAGGTAAAGTTTGTAATGGTGCAGTAGGGTGGAGGCTTGGTGGTGAGCTGTGAAGCATAAGCGAGGAATCGCATACGTCGAATCGAGTCGAACGTGGAACATCACTGAACCACCACGACTCGATTCGACGTATGCGATTCCTCGCTTATGCTTCACAGCTCACCACCAAGCCTCCACCCTACTGCACCATTACAAACTTTACCTGCTCATAAGTTGCTTGTGAAATGCAGGTTGCAGTTTTGCTATCTATATTTGTAAATAACCTTATAGACTCTATCGATCTACCCAGGTCTCCATTCAAAGTTCCATGGTAGTTGATGGGACTACGGTCACCCGTGCTCTTCTAAAGCCGGACGTCGAAGGAGAAGTTGGAAGAACCCAACAGCAATATAGCCAGGCTTTTCAACGTATACGTGTTTACAAACATACCTCGATATGAGTTCGTTGGAATGCGTGAGACCTGGCATCAAGCCCCTCTTCTTTAGCCAGAAAATAGAAGCGAACGAGCCAGAGAAGAAGATTCCTGGAAAAGACTTTGATATACGCCAGTAAACCTACACGACGAGCGGCTCACCTTCAACAGCAGCAAAAGCGATAACACGCTCAGCAAACGGCGCATTCTGATCAGCTATCCATTTGAGAGCCCATTCTGCCTTCTTTGCAATGCAGGGGAATTCAAAAATGGCATTGAAAAGGATGTGTCTAAACTTGCGAATAAGGATACGTAGTGGCTTCACTGATAGCAACCAAGTACCTCTCTTTCTCATCTCTGATGTATGTCTCAATTAGCTTGCTATACATTTCAGAGTGGATATTCTCAATGGCGATTTGGAAACCATAGAAGAATCGAGCCTCAGGAACTTGTACTTCTTTGGAGAATCGTTCCACCTGAAATCAATGCTGATCCAGTGAAAAATATGGGAATGAAGATAAATCAACCCAAAATAGAGAGAACTGAGAACAGGCTTTTACTTTAAGAAATATAAATCCTGTAAAAATGTGGGGATAACCCTTCCCCAAACTCTCAGTCGTTTGAAGGCAGAAACTTACCAAGTTCTCGTTGACGATTCCATCAGAAGCGGCGAAAAATGCTAGCACACGGGATATGAAGAACCTTTCACTATCGCTCATCTTCTCCCAATCGGCCATATCTTTCGCAAGATCTACCTATAAAGTTATGAAAATGGAGACTGGTAAGATATGAATGAAAAAATTTATGAAGTCGAGGCAACTCACCTCTTCTACCGTCCAAACGACGCGACAGCCTTCTTATAAAAAGCCCAGATGTCGTGATATTTGAGAGGGAAAATCACAAACCGATTCGGATTCTCCCTCAACAATGGCTCGTCTTCGATGTTAGTTGGTGCGGACAACTACAAACAGAACACAGACTGTCAGAATAGTCAAACTCTTTTCTACACTTTTAAATCGAAGACTATTTAGTGTTAACCATAAGGACTGACCATCTGGGTAACGTGGCTGGTAACATTTGCCTCCGACTTTTGTGGAGCGATTTCACTAGTATCCTGAAAAAATAAGGAATGTATTTAATAAATCTTAGGGAAAATCGCAACATACCATGTTTTCCTTATTCTCGGAAACGACGTTGAGCTGAGTTTCTCCTAGAGTCATCGTTTGGAATGTTAGGTCTCTGCCTGTGATAAATGAGGTGTAGAATCGGCATTCAAAGTCTAGCGGAGACACGAAGAACAGGGCTGAGCAAAAGAACCGTATATCTCAAACAATTAAAAGTCGAGTAGCGGTCCCCTCATAATGTACAAGACTTAGCATAGTCTTGTAAACCGGTTAAAATGAAAAGGAGCATTGCTAAAGTGTCCAGAGGATGTACCCCCTGTTTCACGCTTGTTTTCTTCAGTGCTAACTTATTTGAGGAGGGAAGGGGTGCTAAAGTATTTGGGGGCGGCAAACTGCTCTTCTATGTCAGTAACCTATAAAACCCGTAAAAATTTTCCCACCATAATCTAAGCAGGAAATTGTTCTGTTTCGAATAGCGTGAAATGCACATACCCACTAAAAAGTTTGTTGAAAGCATAGTTTTTGCTGCTAATCTTCTGCTTGTCTTGTTTGATAGTCCGGTGGAGTGACGGGGACTTTCAAATTTGGCGGAGCATGCAAAACATTCAAAAGTATCTCAATGGAACGGGCTCACCCATTCCAAAGTTCCTTCCCTCCCAGGCGTGGCAAAACTCCTCAACCCGGGTTTACAGTCTTCTTCACACTTTTCAGCGACAAGTGGATCACCTTATTGGCAAAACATGCGATAACATAAAATTTTTGAGCTACACCTGAATTACGAAGTAACCCCGAAAGAACCCTCGTTGGAACCGAACACGCAGTATACTGTTTAGGAGGGAGCAGAAGAGCAGCATGCAGCGAGAAGAGTAAGCTTGTTCCGTATGGCAGCCTTACGAGAGTTTTCTCACCAGCGTAAGGAAAAAGCGAACTAGCAAAATCCCCTTCTCGCCAAGGCCAACAATGCTTTGAAACACTTCAAATTAATAGCCGTGAAGGACCTCGCCATGATGAAAAGAATGAAAAAATGAGGAATGAGTTTCCATTGAAAATAGAACTCGCATAATCATGCTGAAATATTGAATAGAGGAGAAATGTTGAGGGCAGAAAGCATGAGTAGCTCGCTTCCCGTTTCGCACATGCCTTTGAATGCCCCACAGGCCGTCTCAAGGAAAATACGTGTTATTTGTGGTGCTAGGCAAACAACAACAGAGCACAGACAAGCTCTCCCCGCGAAAGCAGACGCTCAGTGGACAAAACAGAAGTGCTAATAACCAGAAGACCACCCCCGACGACGTCTGGGTGGCGATTGCGAAACCGGCGCACTTGTGTTTTCCCGCGCGTTCCCATTTATGAGCGCTAAATCGGACGGTTTGAATTTGAACGCGATGACGTCACTCGGTGAAAAAATAATTTTCAAAAAAATTGCATGCTCAAAGTCTTCATGGAGGGTAGCAGCCCAATTCGTAGTCATAAAGCACTAAAATAGATGCATGAAGAAAATTGGTAAATTTTGTGATCTAAAAAATCTAAAAATGATCGGGGTAGTATTGATCGGCCAAATCGCTGGACCTCCGAATCACAGGTTATTCGGTCGCTCACTATGAAGAAGATACTCATACG